AACCGCTGAAAAAATCGACCTCATTCGTCGTTTTTGTGTGGACACGAAAGAGCATAGAACACTTTCCCTGGTATATTTGAAAGCGAAATCGCCATCCAACTGTAAGACCGTTGCCGAATCTCTCCTAAAGTATGAGGATCGTCCCCTACTGTTATATAGATTCGCCTTAAGTGGGCGTGACCGCAAGACAGCGCCGGCGAGATTCGAAAGCCAACCGTTTAGTCAAAACCCAAGCAGTTAGCCAATTCGCTAGCGAGTTTGCAAATTGGCTGCCCCAATACTTCTGAGACTTGCTGTAATTCACTTGCTCACAAGTTTTCAGTCTAGTCAAAGCCATATGCACATGGCAGAATTTGATGCATTGAAAAAAACTAGCATATCAGGCATAATTTGCCCCATTACACTCCCCCCCATTTTAAAATAGAATATTGTAAAATGCTTCATTTTGCTGAAAACACTTTGGGTGTTTTGTATGGAATTTGTGTTTTTGAATGTATATTACAAGAAGAAAAAAAGTATATTTGCTGAAATCAAACTTATGAATGTAAAATAAATTATTTTACAGTATGCTATCAGTTGAGCTCTTTAGTGTTGGTGCCAAATGCAATGTGGTGCAAGTTTTGGGGAAAATAGGTAACTTCGCACATGTCCATCTGGAACATGTACAAACGTGAGATCTTTGCTCTGATGATGGTTGTTGTGCATTTAGCAATTTTCATTCAGGTTTTTTTAAGATATCAAATGAAATTCATGTTTTCAAGATCATTGTATTATCTAATAAAGCAATGCTAGAAATTGACTAATTACATACTTATGTTCCTATGTTTAGAGTTCAAATCCTTGAGGTGTTTCTAAACCAGGTGTTTTCTATTACATATAAAAACTTAAAGGTCATTGGAAGTGATCAGTTGGTATCTAACTGCTGCTAAATTAATGTTGACATAGAAAATCTCTACCAATTGCAGCATTGTCACTGGACAGAATGTGAAGTAAACAAATTAAATTTTTATTGCTATTGTGAGGTATTTTGAAATGAAATAACATTTCAGTTTGGTACAGTGAGTGTAAAAACTATACTCCATTGTTTTTCATTTTCTGAAACTTGGTAAGAACCAACAATCAGTTTAAAAGCTTCAATCGTTCATCTTAAACAAGGTTTTCAAGACTTTCTTCTCCAGCTCGGTCACATCTGGGTGCCATAAATCTACCATAAATACAACTCTTGGTCCATCGCTTCGTTTCCCATCATGCCTTGCTTCATGAAGGAAAGAGTCATCAAATGTGAAACATTCTCCTTGTACCCAACATCTGGTTTCCCCAGCAACAGTAAGATGACATTTTGGTGGAACAATTAGACCTACAAAAGAAATGAGGGTCATATTTCAGGAAATTATTGGATTTGCAGCTTTCACCGTCACTGAATTAAATGTTTCTATCTCGTTCAAGCATCATTCACTAAGAAGGCTGACTACTGTCGGGAGAAAAACTCGTTTTGTTTGGTTTTGCCACAGTCCCTCTATCCCCGGTCTGGAAACGGCTATTGTCTAAGGTGTGAATTACCCGCTGTGCTCAGACTGTGCTGGGTATGGCTTTCCGCGAAGCATAGTCTCTTGATAGCAGAGAATGCTATTTACACGCAACCAGCCGTGGGACAATAGACTGCGAAGCGTTTCCAGACCAGGGATAGAGGGACTGTGGTTTTGCCAATCATGATGTAGGTCAGTCTTTGAGAATGTACAAATTGCTGCCAAAGGCAATTAAACTAAGCTAAAAATAGTATGCAAAATAGCTAATTCTTATGCATGAATCTTAACTTTCTAGACATCCACCAAACCTGCTTTGAGCAAGCACCAGTATTCAGTTGATTTAAGCAAGTTGTAGTTAGAATACCAGTATATATACTGTAAACCACAGTTGGTGAAAATTTGTGAAATTATGTAGCAATGGAGTTAAACTAGGGATGCTGATTGTCGATGACTTTCTTAAAATTTGTAGCAGTGTAGACCATCTGGCTATTGACACACCCTGAAATTATTCATCGTCTTTGGGTTGTTTAGCCTCATTTTTCAAAGAAATCCATTTACAGCCTTAAGATTGAAGCTCTGATCGATGCTTATGTGTTTATATTTCAATGCCATCTATCAAGACAGTGATTTCACATTAAAACTTCTAACCTTATAACTGGAATTGGAAAGTATCCCAATTGGACTGGTGTCGTATTCTACCACAATCAGGCTCCTGAGATTAGATTTCGAATGAATCTTTTGAGCAACAGTGTACTGGGACATCTCAACCATGGAGTTAAGAAAGTGGTACGAGTTCCTTAGGGCCCCTTCACTAATAATCATTCCCTTTCAGTGCCCTCAACCCTATACACATACACCTACCATGGCGGAGCATATACATTGGGGGGCTGGAGTGTTAGGGTTAGGGGTCGGGGTTCAGGTCAGGGGTCGGGGTTAGGGGTCGGGGATGTTAAGTCTTTCCAAAAAAGCTATATGATTTCAAAATGTCTGATAAAACACAAGGCATTGACATAAACTAAGGGCTATGATAGGCACAATTCATTGCTTAGAGCATGTCAAAAGCCATTTTGCATAGTGCTATTCATAGACACACAGTGTGTCAATCGTCACTCTAAAAATAGAAAGGCAATGCTAAAGTGGTGATACATTTGTTAGTTGCCAAGCTTCAATACTTTACAGTCAAAACCCAATCTCATTGAGATTACCACTGTTATGTTGATTTGCTGTATATTATCAGTTTATCTATGAGCTACAAGACTCTTATATTCACCTAAATGGCAGCGTATTCTTAGGTTACATGGTCCATAGTGTTCTGTAATATGAGAGCCCGGTTGTAGAACTGAGAACACTACATTTCCAAATACCGTGTCTTCCATGATGGATTCCAACTGATCGATAATATGTGCCGTTTTGGGACATTTACGACAATTATCCGCGTTTCTGATCCCTTGATTGATTAAATAAAAAACACTCCATTCTCCAGTAGGCACATTGTTAACAGTCCAACCCTGCGTATTACCAGATTGGTGTTCTCTATATATGCTTTCAAAGTCTCTTAAAATCACAGGGAACTCTCCTTTAATTCTTCGGACGTCCCTCTTTTGAACATTTTCGTGCCAGGGGGAAGCAAACAGACCCGGAAGAAAGAACACATTTGGCTGCTGCAACGTCACTTCCTGTGCTTTGCGATGAATTTCAGCTTCCTCACACCCGCTTAGAATTCTTTCCAAACCATGCCAAGAATGCATTTTTGCAAATTCTTCTAATCTGGGTAGAAGGTTTCTATGTAACTCTCTGTACTTCTGACAACGAATACAACTCGGAGACTCGCAATTTGAATATTCTTCTGTTGTTGTGATAATGTCCTTGATAATATCATTGACGTTCGCGTCTACTGGAAGAAACCACTTAACTCTTTTTAACAGCAACGCCCCGACAATTATCGCCAGCAATGTCCCTATTTGGATGCTCAACTCACACAGGACGCTTAACGGAGAATCCTCGCCAGATTCCATAATGTTTTGCGCCAAGATGTGGACAAACCAAATAATTTTACTTTGTATTAACGCGAATCCCACTTCCAACTACGGGCGCGGCCATCTTTGAACTGCAATGTATCACGGGAAAACATATGAGCGTCTGTAAAAACAGTTCCTTCCCCAAGTTGCTTTTGGTAGAATATGATTAATGGCATTTCGAACCTCGGTAATTTTTGTTGATTACGTGACCACACCAACAACAGAAACTATATATATGTATATAGCGATATAATTTTTCTGTAAATTGTAACTTATTCTGTTACATATCGGGCCAGTGCTTGTAGTAGTGACGAGCCGCAATACCCAGACAATGCATGCACTTTTCCATTAAGCAGCGTATACATACATAAATATCTGGAATGAAAGAGAGAATAGAGCATAATTTCAATTTTGCTGAGAATAATCTATTTCAAGTTAGTTCTTCGCAAAATATTGATCCAAAATGCCACAAAATTCATTACTGTATCCGAATCTTCTATTCAGCCTAATTGGTAGCCTTGTGCCTGTCACAAAAACATACATGGAGGCCAAAATCCCCATTTAGATATTACAAGAAGTGTAGATTTGGTGAAAATAGGATCACGGAAAGTTTTTCGCGTGAATTATAGATGAGATGCGTCTTTTTTAGGGCACTTTTTAATTAAAACTTAGGTTTTTACGATGCTGTGCGAATTTTAATTCTCTATTTACTGTGCATCACACTCGACAAACCGGCCAAGACTTTCTTTTTGGAGAATTGTTGGATGAAATATTTTGGACGAGCCTCAACTAGCTAGTAGTTGACATCATCGATTTTCGTGCTATAAAGACAATAAAACAACCGAATATTAACTTCAAATAAAATTGGTATGCATTACATTCTACATGTTGCATTTTTGGCAAATTACATGTCGTGAAAAGTGGTTGGAAAGTTGCAAAACTTGGTTCAAAGTTGCCGAAGTCAGTTGGAAGTTGAGTGGAATGCCGAAAAATTGGTAGCAAAAAGGCAAAACAGTTTGGCGGAAGTCAAAGAATTTGTTTCAAAGTTGTAGAAATTAGTTGGGAAGATGAAAAACTTGGATGGAATGTTGAACTTGACATTTTTGTAGCTTTATTAGAACATTTAGCTAGAGCAGAGAAACAGTGTTGTGGTAAGTTGAAGAATGGTTGCAAAGTTGCCGCAGTGAGTTGGTGAGTCAACATAAATTAGGTGCCAAGTCAAAAGATTGATTGCCAAATGGTATAGTTAGCTGGGAAGTGAAAAACATTGGGTGTAAAGAAGGGATGTAAGGATGTAGTAGAGGTTATTGCAATTGCATAGCACATTTCTGAAGTAACATTTTCTTTGAATCTCATCAAGTTATATATTTTTAGAAAGCTTATTTTTCAAATAATATTGAATAAATATTCTAACGAAATAATGGAACCGTATAATCACGTGATCACGGTGCAAATAAAGAGGTGTTATTTTCGGAGAAACGAAATATGGCCACAGAAATGATGCTCGCGGTACAGAGATGCCTTAAAAGGTTTGAATTCAATTTCCCAGTTCGTCTACTTTTGCGTGACCTAGATTTTGACCTCATAACACTTTTTAAAAAACATCGTCAACGTTGTTTTGAAATATGATACCCCATGTCAGAGTTCACAAAGGGGAGAGTTGTGTCGTATTTTCTAAAATCAAGGTGATAAACAAACTATCTTTGCCAGATTTCATTAACAGCTATCAGAGGCAAGGCTCCAGAAGGAGTACACTTTATGCAAATTTTTAAAAAATATGCTAATTTATTCATGACGTAGCAGTTTCTGTGCTCATGAATATTCATTAATTTGTGGATCAATACATTCTAAAAGGGGCGATATATTATTTTTGGGGGAAGAGTTAGAAAGGGGGATTAGCAATCCTTAGGGGGTCAATACAAAAGAAGGTACCCATTTGGAGAGCAGCATTGATCCTCGTGTCTGTTGCACGTGACCTGCAGCTGTCAACTGTGTTCGTACGTCGACTGGCTTCCATGTCTGGAGAATTCCAGTCTGGCTTCAAGCATGGCCATTCTGATAACCAATGTATATACGCTATGAAGACAAGTATTAATTTCTTATCTCGGATTTAATAGTCCAGTATATTTATATGTGTGTTTTCGATGCCAGTGAAGTAGAGTAAATATATTGATAGAGTAAATAGTCGGATGTTATTTAAAATACATATTGACAGATGTGTTCCATAGCACAATGTGAGCCAAATAATGGGTTGTGATTCTTCCACCATCTTGAATTTTCACAAGCATGCGCAGGTGTTCCATTCCGCGATGTCTGTGTGCATATATATTTCCCCATATATTTCATACTACGCAATTATCTACCACCGCTGGTATCTCTCAATGGACACAATCTGAATGTTGTGCTCACTTATACTTTTCTTAGATATGTCATTTACAATGATTTGTTAGATGGCGAATTTCGATATCAAACTTACCGTTTTATGCATATGCTAATTTACTAATTAGAACAGTTGCTGCAATGTCAAAGCTAAGTCTCTTTCGCACTTTGCGTACACATGTGTATTATCTATCAGTATTGTCACAGTGCATCAACACCCCTAGGATTGCATTTGAAGTATAAAACCATTCATTCTCAGTATTTATTAGATCATGAATTGGATCTCATACAACAGATCACCTATCCAGGTCAATTGACCTTTGACTTGAAGGACAACGCAACGCAGATATTGTTTACCAGACAATTGTTCTGTATTCGAGCTAACATTATGATCCGCACATTTTCAAATTGCAGTTATCTGGTTAAGCTTATTTTGTTTAAAACTTTACTTTCCAATATATATTACTCACAGTTGTCTTCAATCAGCGCCCTCATAGTCTGCTATAACCATGCCTTTCGAAAATGATTTGGCTAAAAGTTTGAGTGCAGGCTCTACGTTTGTTTCTAACAAACAACATTATCACTTTATTATGTTTGCTCAGATCAATTATTCATAAGTTTACTGAACGTGTGTGAATGTCATTTAAGTAGCATCTCTGTGTAATAGTGCTTTGTTTGGTCATCTAATTTGGAGAAATGATTTATTATTCACTTTTTCATTGTATGATGTTGTCATTTATTGTACATATGGACTTTGTCTGAAATGTCATGTAATCACTCTAGTCACGTCAATCAAAGAAAACTCATCCCAATACCTCATTGAATCTATGGTCCATTGAGCTACGAGTTGGCTAATAATTATACATAATAAGTAATCACAGACATCGACCCAAATAAAACTATCTCAGAACACACATGTACCAAGTTGTATTTTTGATGTGCACAAATGTAAACCAAGAATCAGACAGGTGTGTTGATTACCCCCCCCGCCCCCCATGAATAAAATATGGTATGCAAGCTGAAGTAAAAAAAACGCATAAAAGGGGTGTTATTTGACATGTATACGCGTTTACTGTGTTTAGGGTTAAATATTTTAGATGTAACTTAGAATATAGTAATAAAGTGTGAACAAAAAAATCTCATGAATTCATGTTACCTCAACTTGAAAACAGTACGATTTAAGTATGTATATAGGGTATCTATTTTAAGTTTCTGCACTTGAATAGGGGTATAAGTTCACAAAAAGAAGTACGTGTTTACAGGCTTTTTTGAAAAGCTTTTATAGTACTTCAGCATGGGTACCAGGTCTGACTTGGAGTACCCCCCCCCCCCCACCCCGATTAGCCCTCAAGCTCCTAGGTGCCAAGTTTCATTGGTATTTGTTGATTTCTGATAAGAGCAAATTAGATCATTATTCATGGATAAAAACCATGAACCAATCAGGTTAATGGATAATCCCAGAGAATCTTTGTTTCATTGAATTTGTTGAATGATTCTAAAGATATAAGATAAACAGCTGAAAATTGGCTAATTTATGCCATCCTTGACTATCAAGATATGGAATGGAGACACACACACACACATACATACATACTGACAGGGTGACAGCAAAGGCTCCCATTGCATGCTTTGTATAGCACTGGTAGTTTCAGGATGCATTGATGGAATACAGCAACTCTCAGTTCTATTCTTGACTAATATATTTATTTGGCATAAGTGGAGGGTAGCAAAGCACAACAATTCAGAATAACACAATTGTAAACATACATAATAAATAAAATGTAAGAGTGGTGTTCACAGAACTACAGAATCATTAATTCAACAGGCATTATGTTCATATGCTTTTAATTCGTGATTTTTGCTTACCGATATTCAAGGAAATTACAAAAATACTGTCACTGCCATATTGTTCTGAACACCAAAATTGCCAGCTACTAGTAAGATGCTAACTGGGTTGCTATGCACTTGTAAATTTTGTGCAGAACGGTGCACCCACATATTTCTTTAATATACCTCATTGAAATCATTTATTTTATCAAGTCACGGTCACAGACTAGACAAGCTCCTCAGAGCTATTTATGTGATCGACACCAGAAAAACTGCTACCTTAATTTGTTTCTCTTTACATGAATAATGTACTTTTATATTGTACAATTTTATTATCTAGTGTAAATAAATACAAATACAAAAAATACAAAATGATTTGATCTAACCAGTTCTAATCACATAATAGTCTCACACAGATGCACATAGCAAACCAGTCAGATGGCAATGTAGCTGTTTAGAACAAAATGACAGCGACAGTAAAAAACATGCAAATATTTAGTTATACACATACTACGTATTGTAAGCATAACACACCAAGGGACAAGTCCTCATTTTATTCTTACAATGTCGGTTATAATCTCCACTGATGGGTAGGGGTCTGTCTGTGTAGATATAATAAACACTGAGATATGAAAAACTAAAAGATATGAAATATTGACAATGGTGGGTGGACAAAGTACAAATTAAGTACACAAATGCATAAATTAACCAGTACACAAGATGTATAACACCTAAGAAGTGTATGCAAGTGAACATTGAATGATAAATCTGGATATCTCTTAGCAGTGCACAAGTACACAGTGTTTTTAGCTACACCACCACGGTTACTAGCCATGGCTACACCTAGTAATAATATAGCCTGCTGGGACTAATATGTTTCTATGCTGGGAATTTTAGAACAATGCGTATCACACTATCCATCAATTAACACAACTGAAATTCATCCACTTATGAAAGGCTATAATTTTGCTGTAAATTGATATCAATTCATAAGATAATTTACCACAGAATGGGAAAATCTGTCTGCACTTTCCTTCAGAAGATTGGGATCAAAAAAGCCAAATTTTTTGAGTAAAAAATGAAAATTGACTCAAATTGTCTGTTGGCTCCAAAATTAGAGTTCATTTCCAGAAATATTGAAGAATGTAAGAAAAACGTGCAGACAAGGTTTGGCGAGAAAGTCTGGAGGTGAAAAGGTTAATAGAGAGGCATGCAGCCATATAAAGTAATACTGAGGACAGGGTAAAAAATTTGCTTGCCATACATGGGCACTAGAATAGAATATTACAGCTTCTCAATAAAAAACTCAGATTACATAGAAAGAAATTCTAATTTAAGCAGTAGAAAAATAAAACAAATTATTTTTAAGAGATTTTGAATGAATATTTCAAAGTGCCATATTTTCTCCATTAAAATCATGTGCATTAAAATACCATTGCTGTTTATGTCAAATAAGCTACAAGTTTTTCCAGTGTAGAAAACTTACAGCATTCTGACATCTTCTTTTCTAATGGAAGGAATATGGTGTTCAAAAAAATCAATAAAATTCAACTTAGCAAACGTACGTAATCACAATAGCAGAATCTTGCCTTGTGAGGGCAGTATTTTGTCTAAATACTGTCCAATCAATGAAACAAAAGAAATGTGAATATTAAATCAGAAAGATGTCTGTACAGAAACTGTTCCAGTATACAAGTTTTAGTACACACTATAACTACCAGTAGTTATACCACAAAACAACACATCACGAAATACAGACTAGGAATACATGCAGATATGTACATGTATATAACACAATTCAACAACAATCTATTTAAAAAATAAAAATGATTGAAACTACATGCACCTTGTTGTAGTATAACACATAATTATATACTGCATTAACAAAATGCATTCCCTTTTCTATATGCAGCATTCTTTTGTCTATATGCCACTCCATTAATGCTGAGGTGCCACGCTGAGTAACGATGCAGTTAGCTATTCACTGTACAGTTGATTGGTTGAATGAAAATTCTGGCTTCTAGGCTATCTCTCCTTTAATGTTTCATAGAAGTAACAAATCGTCTTGCAGTGATTAAACCTCTGGTTCATAGAATAATGATAGGATGTTAATATCAATTTGAAACAAACATTGACACAGTGGCTGATGAAATACGTAGAATTAAAATTCTGTATATCTAAAAACTCAGATAACATTAAATGAAATGCTATATTTGTCTACATTATTACGCCGTAATAGTTTTCAATTTACTGTCTATAGATGGTACCATGCATGATACAAACTGCTATTATCAGCAGTTATGCAAATGAGCCGAAAAAAAATTGCACAATGTTTTACATTATCACACACGATGTTGCCAAGATGGTTTCTTTATTATTTGTTTCATAGAAGTGGGTGACTTCTAGTTTCCACACACATGTCCCATAAAAGCTGCAGGAATTCCACACTGACTACTCCAAGAACAGGTTCCTGGTGTTTACGTATGATTTGCAGATAACAGTTACACATGTTTTTTTATAAGTCTGCCTCAGTAACTCCCTGTGTGCCTAATTCCATGAGTAAATTATCCAAGTACTGGGGATCTGGATAACCATGACCAGTTAAATTAGATCCAAATTCTGTCTTGTGGTGTATTTCATTCCAAGTCACAGTGTTGGGTTCACTGGTAGTGGCTGATGTTCCAATGGTGAAGAGAAGACGTCGGTCCCATGCAATGATCAATAAACGCAGGGCCTGCAAAAAAACAAAACAATGTCAGCTTAACAATGAATCTGCTTTCATAACTTCTGATGCATACAAGAACCAAAGTCTACTACATTTGATACCACAATTCTTCAAATGATATTACCGGTATTTATGTAAATGTTGATACACTTGTGGTAGTTATTACCAAATTGAAATGCTACAACACCTTATAAAGTCGTCAGTAAAATCAAAATAAAGAATCATAATAATGTTGTAAATCCAAACTTCCTTTTGTCTCTAGTACCAATATGCACGAAGACAGTACAGCGTAATAACTTTATTATTATACATTTTTTCCTCCCAAGGATACATCATGGGAATGCCGAAATCCAAAAAGTTTAGAACAGATTCAGCGAACTTCTTTGTGTGTGGACCGGTCAAACCCTGGGGGCTGCCATTTTGTTTTTATTATTAGAGAATGCTCCCGCATGTAATCGCTCCATATTTGGAATTCTCATTTCCTAACATGGTAGGATGAAAATACCCACCCAGTGCAATACCGTAAAATTACGACACGCCGTAACTTACAGTGTTATGGTGACAGATGCATAATAGAAGTTTTTATTTCAAGAACCAGCTCATAACAAAAAATAAAGTTACTAAAGAGCAGGAAAGCATAAAAGAAATTAACAAGCAGTCTCTCGGCTGAGATAGCTCCGCTGTTAGCAATGCACATTTCAATTAAAGAACAGAAGATATCATTAGAAAATGAACAATGTGTATAGTATCAAAACAATCAGACTTGCGGTTTTCAACAACAACATTTACAATCTGATTTACAGAAATACTCAAGTTGCAACTACAGGTAATATAAAATAGAATGTGAAAAGTGTTGTTATAAGCAACACGCAAAGCATTAGCTTTAGAAAATACTTTGTTTTATCAGTATTGAATTTGATATTATGGGTGTGATAAATATTTACCTTTCTGCCTTCATCATTATTTGGTAGATAACAATGACGTGGAAATCCTCGAGCAGAGTATCTTTTACCTGGATGAGGATGTTCTGGACCCTGGAAAGACAAAATACCAAACAAATCATATACCGGTATATAAGTACTCACTGCCACGTGTCAAAGTTCAGATAAATACTGAACAAGCAGTTTATCGGCTGAAATAGCTCCGCTGCTAGCAATGCACATTTCAATTAAAGAACTGAAGACATC